TTCCTGCAAGGGACATACACAAGGGCGTACAGGACAGCTTCCTGATGATATCTGACAGTTGAATGTCAGGAATGCCTTTTAAAGATCTTACTTCCCCAATGGGCACTTTTACACTCATACAAATTAAATTTAATCACAAAAAATAGTTTGCTTTTGAAGAAGTGTGACAAACAGAACTTTTGGAGACTGTAGTACATATCTCTTTAATGATTCTGAAACAGAGTACCAAAGATGCTATGTAGAAATATTATTCACCAACCTTCATGTTCTTGTTTAAAACTGTTATTGTTTGCATTGATGAATTTCACACACACACACGGTTACATTTTCATTTTCACATGAGTTATCTTGAAATTATGCCATATTCTGTTTTGTATTAGATTTCACACTCTTTAAGTCCAACTGAATCAGGTGTCTAACATTGTCATTCTATAATACATGTTGCAATAGATGAGCAAAAAATACTGATACTTTTTATCATACAGCTTATCCTTCAATACATCATGTAAATTCCAAATTGTAAGTTGCTATTCAGAATGGGAAAAAGGAAACCAGATGCCACTTAAATTTGGAGGGGATAAATCACTAAAGTGACTGACCAGCAAGTTAAATTAAATTGAATTTGTATAAGTTTTAGTATAAAATACTGAAAAAGTATCAGAATGCCTGCTCTTGTTCTAGGTGGAAAGCCATCCATCATTACCAACTGGCTCAAGAGCTAACAACAAAATTACCTAAGAGCTGGGTGGATTTGATTTAAATCGAGTTGATTTAAATCACAATTTAAATCATGATTTAAATCACTAGTAAAAAGGCTTGATTTAAATCAACTTAATTTAAATCATAATTTTAAAGAGCAACTGTCATCTCTGCTACTCCTTTGACCCACTGTTGACTCACCAATAGTCCCAGTGTTGCAGAATATACAGCCTCATGCTACATAACTAAGCTCCATTTCATGCTGAATAAACTAAATTATTTATGTATCTTAAATAGAAAACTATCTTACGATAGATTTTTACCCCAAAAGTTTTTTATTAAAATAAATTCGATAAAAATCAAAAAAATCCAATTTAAAATAAAAAAATCTGATTTTTTTTATTTTTTAAAAAAAATCATTGATTTTTATCCACCTTGCCTAAGAGCAATCACTATTAAAGGCTTATCCACAATTTGTATTAAGTAATAGATTAATCCAGATAGCCTAATCACTGTAAGGATCTAAACACATAATTTTGGAAGAGGTAAAAAAATCATTCAAAATAAATTGCAGGTATAGTTTTTCTCCCAAATAGTTAGGCTGTATTCACATAATATAGCTAACCTGGTTTGCTGCTACCCTGCAGTAAATATTTAGTCCAAGAATATGATGGCAGACAAATGAGCAGCAGAGCAGCCATCTTTGCAGACAGTCCAGCTATCAGGAAAGTAGCTGGAAAGCTGTCAGTTCCTGTTTCTTAAGGAAAAAGCAAAAACTTGATAACCTGATAAGGGTTGGTATTGAAAGGGAGATTATGCATCTGCTATTGTTCTAACTGCCTCTAATGGACAAAGGGGTGGGGAATGAAAAGAAGAAAGCTCTGAGATAAGGAGCACTTACAGGTGCCCCATTTTTGTTAAACCACTCTAGGCAATTCAATTCTCTCTTTAATAGCAGGGATCCACATTTTGTTACTTATCCTTCCTATTTCATTCAACCTAGGATGCTTAGTTAATCCAAAACAACTTTCTCTAACAATAAACTGATTAGGTTATAGGTGGTTGCATTACATGTGAACTACTCCTTGACTTAAACATTTGACCCAGACTAAAATAGCTTTTATTTCTACTGTAACAATTTGGTTTTTTTTTACAAATAGCTACCAAAATCTTCCACTGCATCATGTCATTGTCTAAATACCTGCTATTATCTATTCACTTTCTTATAGGCAGCAAAACAAGTTTCTCCTCATACATAGGCTTCTTATTACAAAAATCAGTTTACTGGCAAATGTCCTTATCTTGTCTGCCTTCTGTGCTATATGAGCCAAGGCCACCTAACAATTGGATAGCTAGGAAGTATATACGAATATAAACTATTCCTTTACTTTATACCTTTCCTAGTCAAAAAACCTCCTTTATAAACAAATTGTGTTGGTCTCAGTCTAAACACCATGCATATAAACTATTTAAATATATTTAATGTATCTTCTAATGTGCAATATGAAATTCTTACATATATGGGCAATTTTAATTCATTAAAAATAAAATTGAAAAGATATTAGTGCAAAACAAATAACATGATCATAAAAACCACTTCTGGGAATAGAAATTTGCATAGGCCAAGAAGGTTGTCAAAGCACCCATCTTACCACAAATAAAAGCAATTACAGAAAAATCTCTAAAGATTAATCCAATGAAGAGACATAACATGGTAAATTGCAGAGAAATATGAATTCTGAATTAGAATTTGCACTGAGTAATATTATTGTCCTCAAAAAAGGGATAGTGGATATGAGATTAAAGCAAAAAGCATGACAAGAAAACAATGGTATAAAGAGTGAAGAATAACAGACTAACCAGGTGCGTAGTGCCCAAGAACATGTAACTTGGAAACAGGAAAAAAAATAATTGATAGAATATGAACTAAGTTAGAGATTTCAGTTTTCAACATCAAAATGTAATTCTAAAATATTTTTGCATATTTCAACTACTGAACTGCTTTCTTGAGCAAAAGGTCTACAGGAAAGTCTTTTCTATCAATTATCAAAATGACTTTTTGTGTAAAGAAATTGTTACAAAAATTTCCCTGATTGCAGACTTTCTAGATGAAAACATGGGATCTACACTATTTAGTTAACGAAGTCAAAATAAAGCTTCTCTCAAACAACTCTAGAGAAGTAACAAACACACTTCATTTTTCTTTTATTTGGGAAGAAACTGAAACTGAGTTCCAATATGGAAGACTGAGCAAAACGGAGTATAAAAGTAACAGCAATGACAATAAATGTCTTAACAAAGAGTACCCAATGTCTTTTCTTCTCCTCAAACACCTACCTTAAACTGCTTAGGGGAAAAAAATATTGCAAGATCTCTTTCTTATAAAGAGCGATCCTACGCTCCCAATACAAAACGCAAAAGAGCTTGGAGGAGGGACCCAATTTCCTACCTGTCTACGAGATCCCTGCACGCCTCGAGGCGAAGCCTACGACTATAACCTCCACGCTTTAATAGTCCCCATAAGTGATCCTTGAGGTGCAGCCTTGAAAGAGATCGCTGGCTAAAGATCAAGGTTCCTGAAGCAGAACTCGAAAGCAGGGAAGGGCGACCGGCACGAAGTTTGGGGGAGTTTCCTGTCCATCCACCGGTTCCATTGGTGGGACAAGACTCCGAGGAGCAGCAAAACTGGGAGCGGGCCGGGGAACCTTCCTAACTCAGCGGCAGACACCGCAGCAGGAGGCGCCGGAGCCCGTTCGGGGTGTGACAAAGAGCGGCGAAAGCAGCGAGAAAAGAGGTGCGAGGCGGGGTCTTCTTCGTGGCTGCTTAGCCGAGGCAGAAGTTACACTTCTGCGGGAGGGAGGGAGGGAGGGAGGAAGGAGGGGAAAAAGTACGCGCGAAAGGGGGAAGAGAACCTCCCTCGCCTCTCGCGCCTTTGGATCCCGAAGAAGAGCCCGAGAGCCGTTAGGCCCACGGAGCCCTCGCCCCACGGACGACGAGGAAGGACCCCGCTCCACGCCCGCCGCTCCCTAAAGAGGAGGCGAAGCTCTTCCTTTGCCGCCTCCAACCTTTAGCACCTACCCGCCAGCGCCGTCCCTTCCGTAGCCGCCGCTCCGGGAAACCAAGTAGTCGGTCGGTCGGCCCAAGCAGTCACAAGAAACACCAGCACGGGAAGTAGGGCGCGCATGCGCGTTCTCAAACCCGCTCGGGCTCGCCGGTTGGCCAGCCTGCTGCCCGTAGGCGCGCGCGCAGCCCCCTTTCCTCTACACCCCCTCCTCCTCCCTTTCCTTCGAGCGCTCCTGCGGACATGCGCAGTAAGCCACGTTTGGCGAAAAACGGGAACGCAGTCGTTTGCGTAAAGAGGCGGAACTGCGCCGCTAATAAATCAGGACTCGGGGAACGAAGGAGCTCCAAAGCTGGAGCTAGAAAAGTAGTTATCCGCATGCGTGTGAGTGACGTTAGGCGTCTTGGAAGCATCTGGACCAATCGCTTGCTTGATAAATGAGTGCAGAGCTAGATCAGAATGGGCATGCGTGAATCGTAGAGCTTGCGTTTTTTAATTTTACGATCGAGGATCGCTGTGAAATCGCGTGCCTTTGAAGAATTTGCAGATTCATCTCAGATTAAACTGTTCAGAATCTGTTGAGCAAGATCTTCGGTTTTATTTATCCTGGTAAAGGATATATGTGTAGAAATCATATTTCTAGATTCTAAAATGTCTAAGGAAGTTTATATAGAACACAACAGAGTAATATGGAGATTACGGAAATATAGGTCTCCAGATTCAAGGTTCACAAATTGCCCTTTAGCAATTGTTTTCCATAATACCTCTACTTCATTTTCATATATGCTGTTTTTTAAATTTTAATTATCTATAGATATAACTTCCATCAAGTTATGGCTGGCTCATTTAGACCAAATAATTTTGTCTCAGTTAGGATTTTGTTTAATACGAGCTGATTTTAAACTGTAATGCCAAAGTAATGACTAAGTTTTCTCTTATGAATTCAATCCTTGCGGTTTAGAAAGCATACTGCTACAAAATTGGTGCACACTTCGTCAGTATGAAGTGAACTACTGTTGTAATGTTTTTGGAAAACTTGTTCACAATAATGCTTTTAAAGATGGAGCCACATTATAGTGATACAGAAACATGTAATGCAATTAATAATTGCAAAGAATAAGAGGAAAGAAGAAATATTATTCTATGAATTTTATATCCCTGATGCTCTTTGAAGTATATAAAGAAAAACGATAATGAATTAATTCAGATTTTTTAGTACATGATTTTGACCATGGTGGGATTTCTAGTATGAACCATTTTATTAGTTTATTTGTGTCCATGTTAAAATATTGTAATTTTGTTATTGCAAAACCTCTTAACATTTTTTATCTGATAAGTGAAAATAGATTTGAGCTGTAAGACAGTTTTCTAAAGGAGGAATTTAGCATGTTACAAGGCTTTTGAAGCTTTAAATCAAATTAATCATAGTATCAATCTTGGAACTTGCAGTTGGAATTTGCCATACAAAATATTTTACATATAGATGCCTGGGCTACTGGACAGACAACTTGTTTCAAGAGCCAAACCAAACACTTGCATTACAGCTTTTGTTAGTAGAAAATTGAGTCATAGGAAATAAAGTCACCAAGCCCATAACTGTAATTTCAGGCACTATGACAGGATAATTTCCTATTTAATAACAATAAAATGATGACTGATAACATACTTGTATACATACTATCATTTGAAAACTAGCTGGCACCAGTAGACTTATTGCTCTACATCTTAAGATTCTACAGTGATCAGGCAGAGCAAATGTACTGTATTTGAAGATGCTATTCTGAGGAGGAGGAAGCAGTAATGCAGAGAAAATTGCTTAGATATTCTCCAAAATTTGACAGACCCCTACAGAATGAAACAGATGGAAGTGACATCTGCAAATCACCTGTCCAAATTCTAACCAATGCTGGATCAGCAATCTCACACAACTTGTCAGTCTCAAAGAACTTGGCTGAAAGTTCAACTCAGACTCTAGGCACTTGAGGAGAGAGACTACAGAGAGAAAACATGAATTTGTGCATGAATATAATATAATTAGAGTGACACTATAGAAATCCCCCCCCACCCCCCGTTTTTTAATGCTTGGAACCAGCCATTCTTAACATTGGGGACAAAACTTCCAGGACTAAATGAGGTACGGTAATTCATCAACAAGGTGTGAAGATTTGAAGCATAGATTGCATTACAGTATACAAGTTAGCCATTCAGCAGTGAAAAGCATCAGCAAACTAATAGAAGGCAATATAGGATGCTAAAATATTTTGATTCACAGTTGAATTTAGGGGTAGCATCTTAGTATGTAACTTTAGTCTCCAGAATCACAAAAGCTTGCTGGCTGAGGGAAACCAATGGTGCATATTATTTTATTATTCACCTCAAACTTTATAATTTTCATAGAAGTTTAAAATTACAATAACAAAAATATCAACTAAAAAAATTAAAAAGGCCAAAGGGAAAAAAGGAGAAAAGAGAAAAAAATTGGAGAGTGGATCCATTCACTGGCTCCTCTTTCGATCATGGACATTGGCTCCTCTCTCTGCAGTGGAGTCTTCAGTCAGCCATTGCTTCCCCAGGGATTCCCAGAAAGGCTTCACCTAAACTCGGCCCACTTAAGACTCTGAATTTATTTTGTCACCTGAATATCTGACATAATCATGTTAGTTGTAGGACTGAAAAGGCATGATACAGAAAAACAAAAAGAGTTATCAGAATCTATACAGTATGGTGTTCTGGACAATAGCCTCCATCTTTGTATTTTGTGTCATCAAGATGAGGGAAACTAAGAGCAATCTTATTTATAGGACAGAGTTCCATACACCTCCATAGAACCATTTGCATTAAAGGAAAGTATTGATGTACCTTAAAATCAAGCTGGATTAATATTAGACCAATTTAATGGTTATATTTTAGAAACTTTGTTCAAGAAACTTGAATCAGTTTAAGATGGCACTGTAATTTTTGCACTGTAATAATTTTTAAAATTCCCTAGAAACTAAGGAAGAGAAATATGCTTACATAGAGAAGTATACTGCTGAGGTGATTATATTTTAATAAAGAAGACTGTGACCATCCCCAAGTTGTTTATTTGTTGGATTTCCCTCCCACCTGGGTAGCTAAATAAAGTTATCTTAGCCAACAGAGAATAGTGACTTTTATCTAATGAGATCTGGGAAGAACAAGCATTTTGCCAAGAATTGTTTTAAAGGTGCTGAAGTTCAGTAAATGAAAATTACCAGCAGGAAATCGCGTGTCATCTGATGATGAGAGGATTTTTGTTACTATTAAGAAAGAAGGAACAAATAGAAGTATCTTGGCTACTTGAACACTGTGAAATCTGTGTTTTCATGTTTTTCACTGCAAAACTTTCTCTTTGCACTAATATAGTGTAAAGGCAAAATAACTTGCAAGATTGTAAGATCTCTTTTGGTAAATTCAGTTCTTGCAGGACCTAGACATCATAGTGTTACATAGACAGGGCCACAAATATACTATTCATATTTTTGTGATTTATTGAGAGAGAATAGATTGATTTAAAAATGACCTGTAATATGAAGAGAACTGGAGTCACAAACTGCTCCAGTTTCCTCAAAATGATGGAGAATAACTTAAACTACAATTGTAGTTTTAAGAATTGAAACCTCAGTGCAAACTTTCTAATCCTGTAAAATTTTCTAACTTGGCCTGCAGAATGCAAATATATCTGTTCTTCAAATATTCTCCATCAATATGGGGGAGGTCATTGATAGAGATATCATTCAAAATATACATCACTACTTCAATGCTTACACATTTATGATGGATGCCTAATGATGAACATATTAAGCAAACTCCCAGTTTCAGAAAAAGAGGATCAAGTAAAAATGCAAACCAAATAATTTGCTAGTCCGCAACTTTTTTATCTATTATAGTTGTTCATGAGCCAAAATTTATGAATCTTCTCAGATTCATGTTTGAGAATTCTATCTAATGATGGATAAAAAAATATAACTGACATTTTTCCCTTTCAAATGACTCAACTTCTACTGTACTTAGTTCTTATGCCTCTTTTTTGTCATCTCCATTCTGTATGGCAATTATTCCATTTAAAATTGTAATTTTATTTGTAAAAGAGCTACTGGGAACTTGGTGGAGCTTTTCCAGTCTGGACACTACTTGAGATCCATGAAACGAATGTCCATGATGAGCAGGAAATTCTTTGGCAACGGGCGTGGTGCTGGTGAAAGCACTGTGAACACTTGGCGTTCCAGATCTACTCCAGTTACCACAATGAAACCAGCCACACTGGTCTCAGAGATGTTCTCATCAGTGCCATCAGCAGTGCTGACACTTAATAGATGATGAACCATGTCACGGCGGGTGTAACTGGGACTAGCTTGAGTTGATTGTCTTCCTGTGACATGCCCAGAGGCAGACATGAGTCAGGGATAGTGGGAGCTCCCACTTTATATATCTTAACATCAGAGAACTTGACATCAAAAGCATGTGGATAGAAGCATCCTCGGAAGCCATAGAAGTATTCACGTATGCGGTCATCACGAAACTCCCGCCGAAAATCTTTAGAGCGCTCTACCACTCCACCTGATTTGGGAAGTAGCACAGTTCGAACAAAGTGAGGCAGGTCTCGTTTTAGTTCATTGTAGAGGCGTTCTTGATCCAACACTACAACAACATCGACTTCAAAAGCAGAAGCAGCATGTACAAGTGCCTGATATCCAGATCCCTTCACCCAGCACAAGTATTGATGATACAGCCACTGATTGAAGCTCTGCGGTTCACTTCACAGCGTTGATTAAACACATCAGCCAAGCGAGATGTGATCTACAAAAAAACAAAACACAGAAGCATATAATTAACAGGAAACTATAAAAGTCATGGGATAAAACACTTAGGACATGAAGTGAAGCTAATCTTTTTTGGAAGGCTCAGCCCTTCAAAAGTTCATACTTGTGAGAGAGGGTTTTTTAAAAGTTATGAAACTGCCCTTAGACAAAGACCATTTATTTGTCACCATAGCCCATCAGGGCCTAATTTGGTTTCTTAAGCCTTCATGTTATCTACAATATTTTAGCCAACTACTAAAACTCATGAGCTAAAATACCTTCCCATTAAGTTATAACCATTTTCCTCTTCTTAACAGTTTTAAATAGTTGCTACCACAAAGACCCTAAAAACACCATTTATATATCAAATCTTTACTCATTATGTAACCTACTCCTCAATCTGATAAATCTTGGATAAATCACTACTCTGCATCCTGATTCAGGGTTATCAAGCCTGCATTCCTAATTTTTATCATGAGTATAGCAAGACTTAACCTACAATTATGTTTGAATCAGCCTTCCAGTTAATAAGTTAAATAAACCAGATTAACATGATAAAAGTAAATAAACATCGATAATAGATTAAGAAGACTGCTTTTACCTGGCTGTATTCTTGATAAAGCTTTGTTTATACAATACATTATACCATAAATCACAGCTAACAAACCACAACAGCTATGTTTCCTATAGCAGGCCTAAACAATAGTTTGAGATTTTTAAATTACACTTGTACAAAACACAGTTGTCAAAGTGTCAAAGGTAGTGGAGTGAGTTCTCATACCTTTACAAAATCTTAATACCATATTTTTCAGACTATAAGACGCACTGGTGTATAAAATGCACCAATATTTCGAAGAGGTAAGCAAGAGAAAAAGGTTTTTGCACTCCCCAGCCACAGGAACACTCTGCAGGCCTCCCAAAGCCTCTGCGCACCCCGTTTATGCGGAAAAATGGGCCTGCTTTTTGCAAAAATGGGGACGTTTTTGCCCTCCACAGCCCACAGGAATACTTGCAGGCCTCTCAAAGCCGCTGTGTGCCCTGTTTTTGCGAAAAACAGGCTAGTTTTCGCAAAAACGGGACACACAGGGTGGGGTTTCGGGAGGCCAAAAATGTCTGTATTCAGTGTATAAGACACACCAACGTTTCTACCCTCTTTTAGGGGGGGGGAAAGTGTGTATTGTACTCCAAAAAGTACGGTAGTTACCTAAATAGCTTATACTCATCAGCTTCAAACTTCAAGAAAGAGAAATTCTACTCTGTCTTTATGAGTGAGTTTTGTATGGTAAACAACTCATAATGCTAATTTCTCTCATTACCTATTATGTTAGCAGAGGCTATTTCTCTGATAATGGCCAATCACATTTCAAATGGAATTCATAATTGGAGCAAAATGACTATAGTCATCTCCCGTTTATACATATCATTTAGTAATCAAGGGAATGAAGAGATTTGATTTATAATTATATCTTTTCTCCATGTAAAGAAAACAGGAAAAGCTATTCCACAAAGGTCCAAAGAAACCAGATAATGTGTAGTTAAAAATGGTGCCTCAAATTTCCATCCCAAAGTTCTATTCTGAGATAATTTATGGAGCCAAACAGAGGTCCACCTTGCCATTGCTTACTTCATCACACGATACTTACTTTGTTATAGAGTTTGATGTTTGTGCCTGGTGTGGTGGATCCAAAATGATAAACTAGGGGAGCTTGAACGGAGAATCCTTCTTCAACATCTGCAGGACGCTCAATATAGAGTGCTCCCATAGTGCCTGGGATTGAAATTGAGCCCTGGCCTACATCCAGTTCCACAAATGTGGGTCGGCGTCCAAGACGCACAGCATAATTCAATAGCAGGCGGCAGACGGTTGACTTGCCTACATCTGTGGGGCCCACCACCATCACCCGAGGTCCCCGCTCATCTTCACGCTCAGCTTGCCACCGCATCTGCTCCAGAGCTGTGTGTGTGTTGAGGTAGAGAAGCATGGGCGTATCTTTGGAGACATAGGCTACTTCAGTCCGACCAGTTAGTTGCACAGAACAACCATGCCAAGTAAATACAGCAACTTTAGCACCAGCATCAAAGGTGAATTTCTTGTTTCGTGTCAGCTCAGTTCCAAAGATTTCAGCCATGCCTGTCATAAGTTCCAGCTGGACAGTTTGTGAGGCCTCAACTTCAAAGCGGAGTTCAGTCTCTCTCTCCAGCTCAAACTTGGAAACCAGTTTCTTTTCATCTCCAGTCTCCTCTGTCATCTTGTTTTATTCACAAATTCTATGAGGACAAAGCATAATTTAACAAAATCATTTTAAAAGTTTGTTGTTGGATGCCAGACTTATGAAAAAAATTTTCAAATTCTTTTTATATGAAACAGTGAGAGTTTCTCCCTTAAATATGTTCTCCAAAAAAATGAACAATTTGATTTCATATTTATAGTCTAACTAACTGTTCCTAAATTGGAACACTCTTTGTATATTGGATTACAACTCTCTTGAGTAACAGTTACTACTGTTACTGGTTGAAACTCATGGGAACTTTAGTCTCAATATCTAAGAGAACCCAATTTCCAAGGATTTAGGATGATTGAGTATAGTTGGAAATACTCAATACTTTCCCAAGAGAGACCAACCATTTTTTAGTAGCCATGATATTGGCCTAAACCACTTTGATTGCCTCATAATTCTAATTCCTTCTAATGTAATGACCATATGAACAAAAAGTCATTCCTCTTTCTTTTTGTAGCATGTAGTAAAATGGAGACTGCATACTGAAAGTGTGGGTACATATCTGTTATTACTAATGTTATTATTAAAAGATACTCTCCAGAGACACTGTGGTCTTAAATTACAATTGGATAGCTGTCCTTTTCAATGTACAGCTCTAGTTTCTGAGGTTCCAGTTAAAGTTCTTTCTGATGACTTGACAAAAATGCAGAAATACAGTCTCTTTGACAACACTAGGATTTTGTTATGATTCCCCATCAAAGTCGTCCTCAGGAACGATTGTGCTCGGCTTTTCAAAACTAGTTGACATTTGCCACGCAGCTAACAATCAGATGAAAACTGTGTTGTATGTTAGTTCTAGTTAGTCACATTTTTATTGCTTCAGCGTCATAAAAACACATATGAAATCTTATCTATGTGCTCTCTAGGAGCATACCATGGCTTGATGGCATGTAATCAATCAATCAATCAATCAAAAAAATCACTGAAAAATATTAAGGATTTATAGTGTGAGCTGATTAAAGCAAAGAGATGCCTCTCCCAAAGGGATTTCAATCCCATTGTTTCATCAACTATCAAAACAATATATGGAAAACAGCAAGACTAAGGCGGGACCAAGAATGAAATGTTCCCAAGAAAGAAAGAGAAGAGCCGCCTGGTGGACGGAACAGCTTAAAAGTTGAGCCATCCCTATAGTAACAGAGTCAGAAGCGTGAAGAAAGCAGCAGAAATCCACCCACTGATTAAATCCACAGGGATCCAACTGCTCTAGTCTCGAATTGACTTGACAACAGAAGTGCCAGTTGCTCCGGAAGTGAGGGAAGCATGACAATTAGATGTGCGGTGGTTGGTGGATTGTCACTGGAGTCAAATTGTGGTATTTCCAGGAAAGGGAGAATGTTTCTAACTCCACACTTCTACATACAATAGTTTCTTCAGCTTAATATTACTTGGTGGCTTGATCTTTGCAAAAGGCATAATTATTTCTCTGTAAAGCTGCTAAAACTTCAAGTTCTCAGTACTAAAAGTGACTCTACCTGCTGCTTTCTGTTCTAGGGACAAGCAGTAGAAAAAATATGCAAAAGTGAAGTAACTGTCCAGCAAGGAGTTTCCAGTTTTTATTATGCAAGTTCTACTCCAAAGCAGAAGTTTTTAGAGTTGTGCTTAGCGTCAACAGCAGCACAGAGGACATAAGATGCCACAAGGATACTGCTTACAGCAAAATCTGAAGTTCATTCATGATGATGATGCTATCTGTTCAGCTTTTTCCACAGTTTTTGATCTTGCATAGCTTTTTTTCAATATTTTTGTGCTCTGGCTAATGTGAGATTTGATGGTGTCTAGGCACTGTGTTTTTTGATGACCTCATTTCATTACCGATGACCATTACGAGCCTAACTGCCTTTTCCAGTGAGTTTGATTGCATGACATGACTGAAATAAGCCAGAATTTTGTGATTTTTGCCTTCCAGTGATATGATTGGTTTTATATGATCCAATGCATTTATTGCTTTGATCTATCTGCAATCCTAAGAAAGTGAATTCTTGCATGCATCTGATCTCTTCACGTTCAACTGTTAGATATTTTCATTACTCACAGTGATCATAACTTGGTCTTTTTGATGTTCAGGAAGAGGCCAACATTTTTGTTCGCATCTTTAATCCTTTTAACCAGATGTTTCTGAGAGGAGAGTTGTGTCATCAGTTTATCAAATATTGTTGATATTCCTTCCTCCAATCTTAACTTCAAGTTTTGAGTCTTCAAGTTCTAGTTTTCTATGATTACTTCAGCATAGAAATTGAATAAAAAAGGTGAAAGCATGCAGTCTTGCCACTTTTTTTTTTCTATACTGAAAAACTGCAGAGAAATATTAATTCGGAATCAGAATTTGTACTGAGTAATATTATTGTGTTCAGAAAAGGGGTAATAGATATGGGACTAAAGCAAAAAGTATGACAAAACAATGAAGTATAAAGAGTGAAAAATAACAGCATGTAGTGCACAAGAACATGTATGTAACTTGGGAACAGGAAAAAAGTAATTAATAGAATATGAACTAAAAGAAGACTAAGTTAGAGATTTCAGTTTTCAACATCAAAATGTAACTCTAAAATAGTTTTTGCATATCTATTCTGTTTTAATTTCACTGAGCTGCCTTTTTAAGCAAAAGGTCTTCAGGAAAGTGTTTTCTATTAGAATTAGAATTCTTTATTGGCAAAATGTGATTATGCACACAAGGAATTTGTCTCCAGTGCATAAGCTCTCAGTGTACATACAAAAATAGTGATAGATCATTATCAAAATCATTGTAAAAATACATTCATCATAAAACATTTGATGTAACACTTAGTGATAGTCAAGGATACTAAATAAGCAATCAACATAAATCATACTAGGATACTAAGTAAACAATATAAATTGTAAGATACAAGCTACAAAGTTATAGTTAAAAGGAGATAGGTAATAGGGAAGTTGAGAATGATGATGGTAATACTGCCTTTCTAGATAGTTTGACAGTGTTGTGGAAATTAGTTGTTTAGCAGAGTGATGGCATAGGTGGAAAAACTGTCCTTATGTCTAGTTGTTCTGACGTGCAGTGCCTTATAGCATCGTTTTGAGGGTAGAAGTTGAAACAGTTTATGTCCAGGGTGTGACGGGTCTGTAGATATTTTCACAGCCCTCTTTGACTCGTGCAGTATATAGGTCCTCAATGGAAGGCAGATTGGTAGCAATTGTTTTTTCTGCAGTTCTAATTATTCACTGAAGTCTGTGTTTATCTTGATTGGTTGCAGTGTCAAACCAGACAGTTATAGAAGTGCAGATGACAGACTCAATAATTCCTCTGTAGAACTCTTATCAGCAGCTCCTTGGGCAGCCTGAGCTTTCTGAGTTGCTGCAGGAAGAACATTCTTTGTTGTGCTTTTTTAATGATGTATTTGATGTTAGGTATCCATTTTAAGTCTTGAGATATTATAGAATCTAGAAACATGACGGTCTCTACTGTTGCTACTGTGTTGTCTAGTATTGAGTGGTGGTAATGTAGGAGGGCTTCTCCTAAAATCTACTATTTCTACAGTTTTAAATGTGTTCAATTCAAGACTGTTCCAGCCACACCACAAGGCTACTTGTTCAACCTCCAGTCTGTATGCAGATTTGTCGTCTCAAATGAGACCAATCACTGTTGTATCATCTGCAAACTTCAGTACTTTAATAGAGATATCCTTTGAGATGCAATCATTGATATAGAGCAAGGATGTCAAATTCAACCGTGTCGCGAGCCAGATTGTGATGTATCGCAATGTTTCTTGCCTTTGCGGAGCTGGGGTGGGCATGGCCTGCACAGGCCATATCCAGCCCACAAGCCACCAGTTTGGGAGGCCTAGTATATAGAGAGAGGTGGAGAGAGCCACACAGCCCTGGGAGTCCTGTGCTAATTGTACAGGTGTCTATGTGTTTCTGCCTAGCTTCATCTGCTGCTTCCTGTCTGTTAGAAAGCTTATGATCCACTTACAAGTGTGGTCAGGCACGGCTAACTGATTTAGTTTAGCAGCTAGAAGAGTATCTGGAATTATTGTATTGAATGCCCAGCTGAAGTCTACAAAAAGGACCCTTGCATATATCTTGGGAGATTCAAGATTTGTGGGATGTAGTGCAGAGTCAATTACCAATATCAATTATCAAAATGACTTTTTGTGTAAAGAAATTATTACAATAAATTTCCCTGATTGCAGACTTTCTAGATGAAAACATGGATCTACACTATTTAGTTAACGAAGTCAAAATAAAGCTTCTCTCAAACAACTCTAGAGAAGTAACAAACACACTTCATTTTTCTTTTATTTGGGAAGAAACTGAAACTGAGTTCCAATATGGAAGACTGAGCAAAACGGAGTATAAAAGTAACAGCAATGACAATAAATGTCTTAACAAAGAGTACCCAATGTCTTTTCTTCTCCTCAAACACCTACCTTAAACTGCTTAGGGGAAAAAAATATTGCAAGATCTCTTTCTTTATAAAGAGCGATCCTACGCTCCCAATACAAAACGCAAAAGAGCTTGGAGGAGGGACCCAATTTCCTACCTGTCTACGAGATCCCTGCACGCCTCGAGGCGAAGCCTACGACTATGACCTCCACGCTTTAATAGTCCCCATAAGTGATCCTTGAGGTGCAGCCTTGAAAGAGATCGCTGGCTAAAGATCAAGGTTCCTGAAGCAGAACTCGAAAGGAGGGAAGGGCGACCGGCACGAAGTTTGGGGGAGTTTCCTGTCCATCCACCGGTTCCATTGGTGGGACAAGACTCCGAGGAGCAGCAAAACTGGGAGCGGGCCAGGGAACCTTCCTAACTCAGCGGCAGACACCGCAGCAGGAGGCGCCGGAGCCCGTTCGGGGTGTGACAAAGAGCGGCGAAAGCAGCGAGAAAAGAGGTGCGAGGCGGGGTCTTCTTCGTGGCTGCTTAGCCGAGGCAGAAGTTACACTTCTGCGGAAGGAAGGAAGGAAGGAAGGGAGGGAGGGAGGGAGGGAGGAAGGAAGGAAGGAGGGGAAAAAGTACGCGCGAAAGGGGGAAGAGAACCTCCCTCGCCTCTCGCGCCTTTGGATCCCGAAGAAGAGCCCGAGAGCCGTTAGGCCCACGGAGCCCTCGCCCCACGGACGACGAGGAAGGACCCCGCTCCACGCCCGCCGCTCCCTAAAGAGGAGGCGAAGCTCTTCCTTTGCCGCCTCCAACCTTTAGCACCTACCCGCCAGCGCCGTCCCTTCCGTAGCCGCCGCTCCGGGAAACCAAGTAGTCGGTCGGTCGGCCCAAGCAGTCACAAGAAACACCAGCACGGGAAGTAGGGCGCGCATGCGCGTTCTCAAACCCGCTCGGGCTCGCCGGTTGGCCAGCCTGCTGCCCGTAGGCGCGCGCGCAGCCCCCTTTCCTCTACACCCCCTCCTCCTCCTCCCTTTCCCTCGAGCGCTCCTGCGGACATGCGCAGTAAGCCACGTTTGGCGAAAAACGGGAACGCAGTCGTTTGCGTAAAGAGGCGGAACTGCGCCGCCTAATAAATCAGGACTCGGGGAACGAAGGAGCTCCAAAGCTGGAGCTTTTAAAAGGAAATTCCGGTTTCGTTACCAGGGTAGCTGAAGACGTTCGCTAGGCTGGTAATGAAACATTCGGAAACCAACCCACAAGCTCGGAGAACGAACCTTCACCCTCAAAGTAGTTATTCGCATGCGTGTGAGTGACGTTCGGAGTCTGGAAGCATTTGGAGCTGAAGAAGCTTCAAAGAAAAAACGAGAAAATCCAGTTGCCTTTTTTGAAGAATTTGCAGAAAAAAGATTCCCTTGCAAATTAAACTGTTCAGAATGTCTTGAGCAGAATCTTCGGTTTTATTTCTGATAGAGGATATCATATGTGTAGAAATCATATTTCTAGCTTCTAAAATGTCCAAGATACTTTTGTATAGTTCTGCTACCGATATGAATGAAAAGAAATATATGTGGCCACTGGTAGTCCCATAGGTGTAACTTCAAGAGTCTTTAATTCTGTATAACTTTTGAAAACCTGTCCTATAGTTAAAAACCATGATCATTCCACTTACACATTTGGCAAGTTCTTTCTAATCGACTATGAACTTTCAAATATTTGCACTCTGCTTCTGTGCACTAGAAAACCACAGAAAGCTAAGAAAGGAAATATGTGGAATGATCGCTTGGTGCTCTCTAAAACCACTGTAAAATTATTCATTTGAGGCTACCTATAGAACTGTTATTAAAGTGATTCTGCACATACATGTAGTCCTCGGCATATGACCACAATTGAGCCGAAAATTTCTGTTGCTAAGTGAAACATTTGTAAATTACAATTGGATAGCTGCCCTTTTCATTGTACAGCTTTAGTTTCTGAGGTTCCAGTTAAAGTTCTTGCTGATGACTTGACAAAAATGCAGAAATACAGTCTCTTTGACAACACTAGGATTTAATTATGATTCCCCATCAAAGTCGTCCTCAGGAACGATTGTGCTTGGCTTTTCAAAACTAGTTGGTGTTTGCCGCACAGCTAACAAGTCAGATGAAAACTGTGTATATTAGTTTTAGTTCATCACTTTTTTGTTGCTTTAGCATCATAAAAACTCATTGATGAAATCTTATCTATGTGCTCTCTAGGAGCATACCATGACTTGATGGCTTGTAATCAATCAATCAATCATGAAAATCACTGAAAAATGTTAAGGATTTAAACTATGAGCTGATTAAAGCAAAGACACGGCTCTTCCAAAGGGATTTCAATCCCATTGTTTTATCAACTATCAAAACAAAACATGGAAAACAGCAAGACTAAGGCGGGATCAAAAATGAAATGTTCCCAAGAAAGAAAGAGAAGAGCCGCCTGGTGGACGGAACAGTTTAAAAGTTGAGCCATCCCTATAGTAACAGAGTCAGAAGCGTGAAGAAAGCAGCAGAAATCCACCCACTGATTAAATCCACAGGGATCCAACTGCTCTAGTCTCGAATTGACTTGACAACAGAAGTGCCAGTTACTCCGGAAGTGAGGGAAGCATGACAATTAGACAGCCACTTGATAACTACTTGTTTCAAGGCAGCCTCCTCGCCCAGTGGCACAAGGGAAATGTAGTTTGCTGGTGTATACAAATCAAAAGGCGAGTGAGGAAATCTTGTTTGCCTGCTTCTGGGAAATGTAGTTTTGTGACAAACGATTAGGATAATTGTCAGCCTGTTTCTTTTTGTCAACGGCATGAAGACCGCTTCAGACATCTTTTCCTTAGATATTTTAATATAATGATACTGTAGAGGCCAAAATTGTGGAAATCTTTTGGGAAAAGTGTATTTTTGAGGTTTGATGGCTAATAATACCACTTTTTTTTTTTTTTTTGAGTTTCAAGATAATCATATTCCACTGCTGGAATGGCCTGGGAAATAGTCCAGAACTTAACCCAATTGAAAATCTATGGAGCCGACTAAAGAAACTTGTTAGTCAGAAGCGACCCAGCAATAAAACCCAGTTAATAGAAGCAATCATTCAATCTTGGTTTCATATTATAATAGCTGCAGAACTAAAAGACTTGGTTCATTCCATGGGAAGACGTAAGGCTGTAATTCATGCTAAAGTTTACCCAACTAAGTATTAACTGACATGGTGATAATTTTTGTATACAGTGTATCTCGTTTTTTCTATAGTGATAATTTTTGTATATCTCGTTTTTTCTACATTTCACATTTCTTCTTTATAACTACTATTCTACAGTAATAGCAAATCCTTCATAAAAGTTATTGCATTACATTCTTGATTAAATTATCTTTCAATTGATATATATATTTATGCTACCACTCCAAAAAAAGTGGTGTTATTAGCTAGTTTTAGAAAATACACTTTCTCCAAAAGTTTTCTACAATTTTGGCCACTACTGTGTAAACTAAGAAAATCCTTTTCTCACCATATGAGAAGTGCAGTGGTTGGTGGATTGTCACGAGTCAAATTGTGATATTTCCAGGAAAGGGAGAATGTTTCTAACTCCACACTTCTGCATACAATAGTTTCTTCAACTTAATATTACTTGGTGGTTTGATCCTTGCAAAAGGCATACTTATTTCTCTGTATTGCTACATTACTACTATGTTTTTGAAGGGAGGAGCTGCTAAATCTTCAAGTTCTCAGTACTAAAAGTGACTCTATCTGCTGCTTTCTGTTCTAGGGACAAGCAGTAGAAAAAAATATGCAAAAGTGAAGTAACTGTCCAGCAAGGAGTTTCCAGTTTTTATTCTGCTGCAGTTCTACTCCACAGCAGAAGCTTTTAGAGTTGTGCTTAGCGTCAACAGCAGCACAGAGGACATAAGATGCCACAAGGATACTACTTACAGCAAAATCTGATTGATGTACATTCATGATGATGATGTTATCAGTTCAGCTGTTTCCAGAGTTTCTGATCTTGCATAGCTTTCTTTCAATTGTTTTGTGGTCTGGCTAATGTGAGATTGGATAGTGTCTAGCCACTGTTTTTTTTGATGACCTCATTTCATTACCAATGACCATTAAGAGGCTAACTGCCTTTTCCAGTGAGTTTGATTGCATGACATGACTGAAATAAGTAAGCCAGAATTTTGTGATTTTGCCTTCCAGCGATATGACTGGTTTTATATGGTCCAATGCATTTATTGCTTTGATCAATCTGCAATCCTAAGAAAGTGATATCTTGCATGCATCTGATCTCTTCACTCTCAATTGTTATTTTTTTGACATATCTATTCCCTACAGTGATCATGAGATTGGTCTTTTTGATGTCCAGGAAGAGGCCAAATTTCTCATTTCCATCTTTAATCTTTAATCAGATTATTCTGGCCTTCTTTGGTTTCTGAGAGGAGACTTGTGTCATCAGCATATCAAAGATTGTTGATGTCCCTTCCTTCAATCTTAACTCTGAATTTTGATTCTTCAAGTTCTAGCTTTCTATGATTACTGCAGCATACAGGTTGAATAGGAAAGGTGAAAGTATGCAATCTTGTCACTCTCTTTTTTTCTATATTGAATCAATGTTTGATTTAGCAACTGCATTAATCAGATGTGTTGGTACCCCTAGATCTTCTAGGGCTCTTCATAGCTTGTCCTGATCAGCACAATCTAAGCCCTTCTTGTAATCAATAAAATGGATGCAGATATTATTTAGATGTTCTTGAGAAGCTTGCTAATATGAACGATGACGTCAATTGTGCAGTAATTGGAATCACCCATTTTTTGCAGTGAAATAAACACTGATTTTTCCCCCCAATCTTTTGCCATGTGTTCATTTCCCAAATTTTCTGGCACAAGTATGTTATGGTTGTGAATGGTACAGGGTTCAGATATTCTGTACAAATGGTAACACCTAGGATCTTACAAAGATGACTTCTTCCTGAAGGATGATGGACTCTATTTCTGCTTCCCTTTCCTCATTATCCTGAGGAAGTGGGCCTCTGTTGTTGGCAGACAGCTCTTACGTCAGTGGTGGGATCCTGCCAGTTCTAGGCGGTTCGGCCGAACCGTTTGTTAAATTGCTGGCTTGCCCCGCCCCTCTGCACCACTGGGCGAGGGGTGGGCGAGCCAGCAATTTAACAAACGGTTCAGTGTTATTTTTATAATTTTATTGGCCTCGCAGCTGCCACGGGGCTTCAAAGAGCCGCCCTACAGCTGATCAGTGTTAAAAGAAATGAGTAGACTGACGCCTGCAAAAATAAATGGGTAGACCCAGTGGTGGGATTTTACTTCGGTAGAACCAGTTGTTAAGTAGTTAAGTAGTTAAGCCAGTGGTTGCCAAAGTGGGCGGTATCACCCCCTGGGGGTGGTGGAATGCCTTAGGGGGCGGTAAGAGGCAAGGGGGGGTGGCAGGAGGGGCTAAATGGCAAGGAGGGTGGCCCCCACCCTTTGCCCTGTGCCTCGCAGCACTTTCCTCCTTGCAAGCAAACAGCAAGAAAAAACAGCCCCTTCAGCTTCAGCATCGGTTAATTAGCACAAGTTGATTAGATCGGCCTCCCGCCTCTCAGCTGATTTGCTCTCAGCTGTTTTGCCAGGGCTCTATTGCTCTCTGCAAAGAGTGCTCGAGCAGATTTTTTTTCCTCTAGCCTAGCTATGCTGAAAAAAGCGAAACTGAAAGTAAAGCAGGGTCTTTGCTGCAACGTGACAAAATAGGCAGAGAGATATTTTTTTCTTTTTCTTTTTCCTCACCAAAAAAGGTAGGTGCAAAACTGCAAACAATGGGAAATTTAGGGCAAAAGAGGAGAGTTCAAGATTTTAAAACACAAAAGAAAAAAAGCTCTATTTAACTAGGGAATTGTAATAATTGAGATACTATTAATTGTGTTGAAAGCAGAAATGGTTAAATTGTGGTTTGGAGGAATATATGGGGGAAATTATTTGGTTTATTATTATTGGTAAATATAATTAATTGATTTGTAAGAAATTGGATTGCATGGAAATAATTGGAATATTCATGTTCATATTGATTAATATAAAAAAAAGATAGTTATATAACTAATTGATTTATATTAAAATGTTGAATTTGTATTAAACAACTGTAATATTACATAATTAACCAATGTGAGGATGGATATAAAAATAGATGACAATGGGAAGGGGTATAATATAGAATAGAAGGGAAAAATTGAATTTGATTAAGATTAGAGATGAGGATGAAGGGTAATATTGGTTTTTTTAAAAAATAGATGAGGAATAAATATGGCAAAAAGGAAATATAGAAATTGTAAATTTAATTGAAATGACTAAACACTGTTTAAATTTGTGAACCAGCCAAATACTCTGTTCAAAGAAAATACATTGTATGTTTGTATGTGTGTTTCTAATTATTGCTATTTATTCATATTTGTTCTCTTATTCTTTAAAGTTTAACAATTCATTCTTTATCTTAATATCTTTATATTTGTTTGGGGTTGGCTTTCTTCCCTTTCATCTTTTTTATTGTACAGCAATCTTTCTCCTCAAACCTACCACCCCTCTCTTTTCTTTCCTTTTTACTTTCTCTCCCCCCCCCTCTTCTTCTCCTCCCTACTTCCTCTTCCTTTCTCCTTCTCCTCTCTTCCTCCCTCTCTTACCCTCACTCCTATTCTAATTTCCCTTCCTTCATCCCTCTCTATTGCTGTATCCTTTTATGCATATGGACTACTCAGAGGGCTGAAAAAGTTATTTTTGACTGGTCCTCGCACTTTTGACCAACTTACGACTGTCCTAACATTTTATGTTTTTGCCCTATCTTGTCACCATGGTGAAGAGAAGCAGTTGTGAAATGAGTGACATGGTTGTTAAGAATGCTATAATGGGCATAAATGTGAGGATGGTCATAAGTGCGAGGACCGGTCAAAAGTGCGAGGACCAGTCAGAAATGACTTTTTTCAGCCCTCTGGGTAATCCTTTTGTGCATATGGACTACTCAGAGGGCTGAAAAAGTTATTTTTGATTGGTCCTCGCACTTTTGACCAGTCCTCGAACTTACGACTGTCCTCACATTTTAACGTTTTTGCTCTATCTTGTCACCATGATGAAGAGAAGCAGTTGTGAAATGAGTGACATGGTTGTTAAGAATGCCGCAACGGGCATAAATGTGAGGATGGTCATAAGTGCGAGGACCGGTCAAAAGTGCGAGGACCAGTAAGAAATGACTTTTTTCAGCCCTCTGAATAGTCCCTATGCAGCTAGCCACGCCCACCCGGTCACATGACCAGCTAGCCATGCCCACCCGGTCACATGACCACCAAGCCACACCCCCAACTAAGCCATGCCCAGAGAACCGGTTGTTAAAAAAATTGAATCCCACCACTGCCTTACATATATTCTTGCCATCTGTTCTTGATACTTTGTTGGTCAGGCAGTTCTTTCCCTTAATTGCGATGATGCTTTTATGAGCAGTAAATGGTGTTTGAATTCTTTTGACTGGTGCAAAATGCATTCCCACATTTCACTCAAAAGTAAGCATATTGAGTGCAATGGGGATTACAAATCAGTGAGAATAAGATTGCAGTTTTATGTCATATTCTCTTTTTCATATAATCATGGCACCAATATGCTGGTGAAATATAGCTTCACTGTTACTTTCATTTTAGCCTAATGTGAATTAGATAAATTTAAGCTGTCCATTACTGTATACAAATGACCCTTATTTAGGGACAATTGGGATCAGCAACTTGGTTGTTAACCAAAGCAATCACTAAATGAAACCACAGCTGTGTTTAGGATCTTATTTCTGTTTTCCTTTGCTTTCCAGATAAATTTGAGGACTGGTCACAAAGATACTTTTTCATCACAGTCATAACTGCAAACGGTTGCTGCATGAAGAAATCACTAAATGAGGACTATCTGTAATAGAGGTATAATGGAAATTGACAATAGGGACAGCAAAGTTCCTATTGAGTGAATGTAAGCGAAGGGAAAACTACTAGTCTAGGACTGGAAATATGGATTATAGAATATTTTTTTCAAAATTTATTAGCATAATTTTTGAAGGCTATCTTGTTTCATTTCCAGATTTAGCTGTAAACTTCCGTGTTCGATTAAAGCAAATGCCTCACTGTTTTGTTTGTTCTATCCTTCCACTAGCCACCCAAATGTTTCTGGGAAATGTGTTAGTGCCCTTTAATTCATGCTAGCTAGTCATCAGTATTCCTGTAATAGTAGCCATGACTGGTAGCTACTAATAATCTTATCCCTCATGAATTTGTCTAGTTTCATTTTAATGCCATCAAATTTCGCATCATTACCTCAAAGTTGCCGTTTTCATTTTATCTACTGTATATGTTCAAAACCTTTTAATTAATCTCTATCCTCCATCATTCATTGTCACCAGTTTTAGTTCTCATTTACAGTATCTTTTTTATTCCATGTACTCATTTTGATAAAGTTGAATTTTAAAAGGGACAAAATTTATCCCTTTTAAAAACTATTAATCTATCAGATTCTTTCTGATTTTTGGTTTTTCATATATTTCCTGCCTGCCTGTCTTTCTCTCTACCATATATAAAATAATAGCTTATATTATAACATATTACATATTTTTACTTATCCTCATTTTAGATTGAAAAGCCCCAAATATAATCTCTCTCCTCAGGAAAACTGTTCCTAGATTATTGTACTTGTCTTAGTCTGCACCTTTTCCAATTCTGCATTAGTTTTTAAGTGTGGTGAGCAGAACTGTAAACTAGAGTCAGTGAATGGTTGCAGTCGCTCATATGTATAAAGATATTTCTATTTTCGTTTTACTTCTTTTGTTAATGACCTCTGACAATAGGGTAGACGGCCATTGTGAGAAGTAGGGGAAAGACAGCTTTGACTGTAAGCTAAGTTGAAATACACCAAAGAGGTTGTAGAGTTAAAAAAAGAAAATGTTTGGGAGCAAAGAAACAAAAGTATAAGATAATACAAAAGATTTAGTTAAATTCATCAAATTTAGATAGAGCCATCTCACTCATTCCTTTGTTATAGCCTTATTATATCCAGCAGAAATGAAGTCATCTTTGATACACTTGCCAGTGTCAGAGATAGTTGTTCTTGTCATGAAGGGAGGATGGAAAGTTGAACAGCTTCCAAATGTTTCTATGCCCAGCATGACTGATGAAGGCCCTGAAGAAAAATTAACCAATTTGGAATGGGAATCCAAATATTGGGCTAGTGATTGTAATAACAATGTATTCCCAAAATAATAATTTCCACTATTCCATTGTTTTCTTAATGTGAATTACTAATTAGAAGTTAGTACTGGTGAAAGTAGCATGATGCATACTAGTCAAATTCTAAATGCAATAACAGTCCAATAGAGGTGCCGCAAAGGTTCCAAAGGCACATTTCCTTCCAATCTTAAAATTAGGACAGACTGATCTGTCTGCAATTTAGTGAATTATAGGGTAATCCTAGAATATTATCTAACATAGCAATTTAAAACTAGGCTTACTTACATGAGTTTCAGCCTGAGGCCATCAAGGTTTCTAATAAATTGTAATTGGTTCCAAGATGTGCTGTCATGGTTTTCAGTGCCAGACATAATGATAGCCTCTCAAGACAAGCAATGCAAGAATTGCATATGGCAAATAGATTTGCTGATTGTAGAAGCCCTTAAAACAATCAGGACTGCCAAACCTATCTTGGAAGACCCTGTACTATTCTACCGTAGAACCTCCATATATTTAAGCCAACCTGAGCTGCTCAGTTATAGCATTTCCTAAGGAAAAGCATAGCTGTGTTTAGTATTTTGTGCCTCAGTAACTAGTCCATGTTTGCACGGAGGCAGGCTTGGGTTGGGGATTTTTTAGTATACAGTTGTTGTTAAGTGAAGGAAGGTTTATTAATTTTTGTAATGGGATCGAGTTTTCCTTTCTGCTGTTTAGAAAGTAAACGATTGCAATTCAGTGCCTACAGATATCAACACCTGAACTCCTGCACGATTTAATGAGGCCAAAATCATATACCAAGCAATTATTTACTTTTGAACTTCAAGCCCACATCTGAAAATATGTTCTCCTTTGGGGTATCATAAACCCGCGGATCTAGCCCTGAGGGGATGTCGGTTTGGAGGACGTGAGGGGAGGGTTGAGCAATGGCGAGGCTGGCAGGAATCGGAAGGCGAGGAGGACCAAATTCTGGGGCTTCGGGCTTTCACATGCTGGAGCATCACATGCGCCGGAGAAGGAGGCAGCGAGAGTCCCGGGAGCATTTCCCGAAGGACTGGACATGTTGGGGTCTGGGGCTGGTCTGGACAGAGCGCCTCGAAAAGCGAGATTGCAGCTTTCCAGCCGGCGGTGACCCTTACGCAGCGTCTCTCTCCCTGCGTCAGAGTTTGCCCCAGGCAGCCACTGAAGGGAGAGCGATCCCTGCGCGCCTTTCTCCCAGTCAGGGCTCCGGTCCGCCCGTCTTCTCTCAGCTGCTTCCTTCCCCCCCTCCACACCCCATGCCGTCTTCCTGCCCCAGAGTGCGGCGTGCCCTGCCGGGGCTCCTTTGGCACCTCAGCCTCTCTGTCGGGGTGACTCCAGCTCGTCCCCTTCTTCCTTGATCCGTGTCTCCGACCCCGCTCTGACGTAGCGGGAGACCGAAGGAGGAGGAGGAGGAGGAGGAGGAAGAGGAGGAGGGATGGATGACTCACAATGTTATGATGCGGTTCCACAACACACCGCCACATTCGGCTACAGACGGTGCACAAAAACAGCCCTCGGGCTGCTCTGAAGCTGCTGCCGCCGCTGCTGTCCCCTTGCTACGACCCCCGCGCGGAGCCACAGCCGGAACAAGCAGGGCCGGAGAAGAATCCCCCGGGAAGCAGGTTTCAAGGTGAGCAGCGGAGAGGGCAGAGCAGGCGCCGCCGAAACTTTCCCTCCCTTCCCGCGGCGCCTGACCGTCCCTTAGCCTGGCCTAAGAGCCATCTTTCACTAGGCAGCCGGGGGAGGGGGAGGAAGGCGGGGGAGGGGGCAAAAAAAAAAGCCGTCACCCGGTCCGCCCTTCCATCCTCTCACCGATATCCCCGCCAGGAGCGAGTCCCGCGGGGAACTTCCCCACGCCGCCTTTATTTTCTTTCCGCGCAGGCAGCCACGTGAGTCAGACTCTGCGGTGATTAACGCGGTCGGTCTTTGGGCTCCTCCCACTTTCACTTATTTTCTCGCCCCCTCCTCTCTTTCTTTCTCTCTCTCTCCCCCCCCCGCCCCCTTCTAAGAGAGGAGGAAGCGGACGGGAATTTGGGGTGGGGGGGGGGGAGAGAATGACAAGCGACGCAATACAAGTTGCACTCGGGCGTAGCGAGGTTGTTGTTGTTGTTGTTTTACTGCATTAATCGAAAGCCGAGCGGTTAGGAACCTGGAGTCGCTGACAGACTCGACCCCTTCCCACGTGTGATTCGCTGCGGGACGGAACGAGGGTTTGCGAATCGTAAGGGGGACAAACGCAGCCTGGGGCAGGGGGAGGGGGGCTCCCGGAAAGTCAGCTTACTGAGGTGTAATGCCTATTTCTTACCGGCAGGGAGCGAGCTCGAGGGGGTGGAAGCTGTCAGAACTGGGGAGTAGGCGACTTTGAATGAACGTGCATGGTGAGCCGTATTATTGAATCCCTGGAAGAGGACTTTCTTAAGCACGGATGATGCGGGGGGGGGGGGACGGGGACGTTTAAATAAGTAGGAATGCGTTGCGGAAATAGTTAACATTATCGTTAACTATTGCTAGCAGCTACTCGGGAGACCTTTAAGAAAGAGGTCTGTGCATTACAGTAATTAAACTGCTGGCTTGTCATGCTAGAAATAATATAATGAAATATTACTTATCGACAGCTTGATAGCTTTTGACAGGTCGTATTTTTATGTATGACAAGAACGTCTTCAAATTATATGGCTGTCCGTCTCAACATCATGACCGATACTGATGATACTGGGTTATTGACATAATGTCTGACAGTATATGAGTGTTACTATGTTAAAGGACAAAACAAACAAAAACTGTTTCTAAATCAGCTGCCTGATTAAGATGAAAAGAGTAATGCTTTTAATTCAGGTAAGGATCTGGTTCAGCTCAAATTTTCAGTATTAAGCACACCTACCTAAGAAAAACTTAGTTGTAAAAGTTTGGAAAGTATGTAAAAAAAGCATACTGTATTGTTTCTACACTCGTTGGCAGGGAAATAATTCATCATTGTTATGCAGTTGAGCATCTACTATAAGGTTCTTGGGCCAGGGAAAAATGAAATCTAAACTTCTGTAGTTTTCTTCATCTTGAAAGAAATCATGAACCTGGCTTGTAGTACAATAATGTGATTTGAGGATCTCCATTCAACCAGCTGAAATCACTTGAAACAGTTTTGTTTGGTGCACCCTCAACTTTGTTTGTTTTGAACATGCATGACAAACTCCATTCCTTCCTTTAATTTCCCAGCCTCCAATGGTCCAAGGTTTGCATTGCTCCTTTGCTTATTCTTTCCCCTTTTCTCTCACTAGGTGTCTCCCCTTTCGGTCTGGTTCTCATCTGGGGGGGCCCTGGCAGTGCAGCCCCCCCAAACTTCACTTTTTTGAAAAACGGCTCTAGCCAACCTGCTTCGCTGCTTCACTTGTGATCGCTTATGTGGGGGCTGCACAGCGCCAGCTCCCCCACCTCGACAAGGCATCGCTCTCCAGCCTGTCATGCCCAGCTGTGAGCCAGTGCCACCAGCCGCCTGTCTCCCTACCAAAACTTTCCGCAGTTACCTGCCCCGGTGCCACCGGACTTACAGCTGTGTCCACTGCAGGGCACACTTGGCCAAACATGATGAGCTCATCTCCAAGGTATGTATGCTCTCAGGATCACAATGACAAGCTTAGTTATACCTATCATTTATCTATGGCCCAACCAGATTCTGGCATTATGCTCCCTCACAGCACTGCCTGTTCTGGGATACCTAACTGCAGCTCCTGGGATCCCCCAGCAATATCAGTCTGTCTAGGAACAGCTTGATCTTTCTTACAACTTGGGATCCCTACTGAGCGGTTGGGCTTGGGAAGGGGATTCAATCATCTTATAAGGGAGAGGACATAACTTTTATACTTTATTTCCACAGTCCTTCCAGGGAAGTCATGGTCGCGCCTATCTTTTCAATTCTGTGTGAGTGTCCTCCTGCAATTGGTTTTATTTGGTGGGAATGGGATACAGGTGAGGAGCATGCAAAGTGGAAGCAGGCAAACATGTAGTTTTTGCCTTGGAATGGAAGAAAATAGCTTTCTTGCAAAAGAGAATTTTAAGTATTGGGAGATATATAGATATATATAAAAGTAAAGCTTTTGGAGTGAGATGTATAATTTAGTATTCATCCAAATAACCTGCATATGACATATATCTGCCATGTCTCACTCAATATCCTCTGTATCACAACAGTCTTACACTTGCAGCTCATCTGCCTCCAAGGCTAATTTGACCGAATTGTGAAATAGAAATAGGGAATAAAACACACAATAAATAGGCTTCCGAGCAATACATTGGGAAATGTGTCCTATTTTTGCTTTTGATATTTTACTATTGCCATTCTTTAACTTGGCAATGGACCTCCAATATCATAGCATTTATTAGGCATTATAAATGGAACCCAACCTATTGCACTTATCATTGGAATTTTCTCTTAGCTCCACCAGCCAGAGGAAGATACATTCTTCATTTTAAAGGATGATCTACTCCTGATTCTAATTATTGGAGATGACATCTCTCCTTTCCCTCTGATCTATGCATTAATCAGTTCCTAGAAAGTGTTATCTTTCTTAACGAGTTCTTTTTCCTCAAGTATAACTCCCAAATGTCCATTCTCTGTGGTTTAAAAGAATCAAATTAATTCCAATTTCATATACAAAGGTTGATACATGATTAGTAAAGTTCCATTATACAGAGATTTGAAAATTGCTGATCAGCCTCCTGATTTATAATACCAATTTTTGTAATGTATACTAGGGGTCTTGAAACTTGGCAATTTTTAAGAATTGTGGACTTCCAATTCCCAGAATTCCCTACCAGCATGGCTGGTTGAGGAATTCTGGGAATTGAAATCCACAAATCTTAACAGTTGCCAAATTTGGAGACCCTGATGTATACAAATAGAGCTTACAATGCAGGTGGTTTTGACAAATGTATCATTTTCATTCTCTTTATTTCTAATTGGCCTTCAGCAGAAGAAAGCTCAACTACAACTCAGTGAGACTGAGTCAGAGATGTAACATACCTCTGACATGGATAGTGATCCCAGCCAAGCAAATTGTTCTGGAGCAGATTCCTTTGGCTCCAGAAATAACCACTCTTCTTGAAGTGAAAGGAATATAGAGGTTGACTATAGCAAAAGATCTGTTTGACCACCTCTGTTGGAAATTATGAACTACCTATATATTCTTATTTGGCAGTCCCGATGAGTTTTCTCCATTAGTTATTCAAGAGCTGACTAGTAAGTAAGTGATGGTTACATTGCTCCTGTGATAATCCGTATCTGCTTTTGCCTTCAAATGTGATAATGTGAAATAAATCTAAATAGAGTACTATTTCTTCCTGGTTGATTTTCAAATAGTTGCACTGCAAAGCCTCTATCTTTATTACATAGCTCTGCATAACAGTAGTTAGAAATAAAATTATGGTACCTTTCACCTCAGGAAGGGGAGATGGATAATGCAGTATAACCCAATAACTGTAAAATCAAATTAAACAATATCTAACTTTTTTCTTTCTACCAGAATGTCCTGACTCCATTTTACAGGAGAATTTAACTACCTTCTTGATATGTATTAATTTAAAACAATTGAACCATTAGTTTGAAGTATTTAAATAGGCATGCATGAAAATGTGGGCAATATTTTCATGTAGAATTTTTTGTTTTTAGCCAAATTCACAAAAGTCAGGAAAATGAGAAATGGAACTGCACAAAATTAGTCATTCCCTTTTCAGTAGATTAAATAGAATTATCCAAGTTGTCTCTGCCTAGACACTTGTAATCAATAGAGTACTATTGATGTGGCCCAATTTTTAATATTCTGAGCACAACATACTGCATGTAGACCCTTCTTTTTACCACTGGAGGCCGCTCTGAGATTAAATTTAGAATCCATTTTCTATTTCTTGTGTTGGGTTTTCAGATTTCCTGGCAAAATGTTTTATTTTTTATTTATACTGTAAAGTGTAAATACATAATTATTGTAAAATGCCCACATTGTAAAAATCTATTCATTGCATTGTCATCTGAAACTACTAAACTATTATAGCTAAGTAAGTAAATCATAGTCCAACTAATATACATTCATAAGTTACTTGAAAAAAGTAGTTTTGTTTTAAAAAACTTTCTCCTATATGATCACTTCAGGTATCATAGGACAGGGATATTCCACATCCTAGTTTTTTTGCAAGCTATTGGCAGGACAGAATTGGGGCCATATTCATGGTAAAGACAAAATGAGATGTTGACTTTTGATTTGATTACAGGGTTAATGTGGGCTGTGGTCCAGCAGAGCAACGTCTTCTGCTCACTGGTCTCCATTCAGTTGCTGATATATTTTGTGAAAGCTGCAAGACTACACTGGGATGGAAATATGTGAGTAAATTCCCTTCAGAAATGTAATTCTAGCAATCAAGTTGCCAGGGAGATTCAGGAAAGCAATCTTTAAAGGAGAATATTTGTAGCTCGGGATTGAAATGAGGGGTCCTTGGTGTACTTGGAACTTGGTTATTTTCTTGCAGATGTTTCAATACCCAAATTAGGTAACATAAACAGCACTATCAAAGCAATCCTTGTGATCCTATCCAATTGGGAAGACTAGTGCAAATATTCTAGCTTTTGCATCACCTCTCTCAAAACCATGGTGCTCTGAATGTATAAATGCCAGTTGCTGCTTGTCATACCGTCTCAATGGAAATAAGATTCTTAGAGCTTTGCTATCTTTCACCTATTTCATCTCATGAGAGCAAAGTTATATTTTTGTTGTAGTTTTAGAGAGGGAGAGGCATTGTCTAAAGTAGGTAGGTTCATGTCTAATAGATAATATTTGTAGCTGGGATTGAGCTGTGGAATCCTTGATGTTAAGCTTGGTGTTTGTTTGCAGACCTTTCATTACCCAAGTAGGTAACATCAGTTTTTAGTGCTGGGTTTGTATCTCCTGTTTCCTTCTTTGCCAGGAACAAGCCTTCGAGACCAGCCAGAAGTACAAAGAAGGGAAGTACATCATTGAGATGTCACATATGGTGAAGGACAATGGCTGGGACTGAGAAGGAAGTCTGGGGTCATACCCTCCTGCGTAGCATGCCGTGCCCTTTCGTAACCCCATTGCCACAAGTGGCACCCCAGCACAACCAGCCCAGCTACCCTTCCATCAATCGCCTGCACAGCATCATCCAGGGGAATGGAGCTTCCAGGATCTTTCTCCCAAAGCCTCTTTCTGAAATGCTGGACTCACTGTTTGGAGGACTCTACCTGTCCCTTAGAGCAGAAGAGGAAACATGCAGGTGGTAGAGAGTGGGAGACTAATGTGGGAGGTTTCGGATTGGTTTTCCTTGGCCTGTGTAGGTTATGTTACATCCTATTAGCACTTGTCAGCATAACACTGTGGCAGCCAGAACCGAGAATCTGGAATCAGGTGTGAACTTTGCAGTCCATTGTGTAAGAAAAAGAACCAAAATACTTAATGCAATGCGACATAAGGTATGCTTTGGGGGAGGGTCAACAGATCACTTTGACGCATAAAAGCTGAAGAGATCATCTCTTGTATCTCTAGCTTAAATAAAGAAGGGCTGTGACAGAACTTCAACTACTGGCATGGCCCTAGATAACTGTGGACAGATAATGTTGACAGAATTGAGCTGGATAGAGCAGTGATTCTGTGCATTATAAAGCAGCTTCTTGTTCTTCTCCTTTCTGAGGAGAAATTAAGAGTTGTACATCAGCCTACTGATATTGGGCACTGAAGGTTGGATGGCGTAGATTACATGGGGAGATAAAAGATATCCTGAAGTAGGGGACAGAGGAACAGTCTCTCCAAATAGCAGTTATTGGTCCCTTTCCCAGACACTGCAATGGTATTTTCCCCAGGTTTATTCTATGGAGTCCATTAATTTAGGTGTGAACCACCATGTGCTTGTAATCCCTGAGCACTATGCTCCCTCCCTCAACTCCCTTACCATACATGAAGAGTGGGGCAGTGGGGGGTGGGGAGAAACAACACTTTAGCACTGTCACCAGCGCAGGAATTTTTTTGTATAATAAAATTGTTTTATATTTTAAAACAAGCAATCCATACTATCAATAGCTTCTGTCATCATGCTTCCTTTGCAGGTTTAGTACCAAGCCAGAAGTTCTGTTGACGGGAAATTAGCTTTCTGATGGTTAAAAGTTTTCAACAGGCACGAATCCAGAAGTATTACCCGACTGCATAAATTTGAAATCTTCATACCAAATCATCCAAAAAACCCAAACCAGTATGTTTATCCCCTCAGACAAAACTGCACATTCAAAATTATCATAATCTGCAAATCGGCTCAGATTATGCCTGGATCTTGTTTTATGAATAGAGTGATTTCCTGTTCCATAATCTTTAGCCATCTTCTAGAGCACAAAGCATACCCAATATATGTGAGCAATCAACATTCAATGGTAGGTTGCCATATTATCTCAAAACAGACAACAGAAAAATGACCAATATTTCAGCTGCTGCTTGAATACCAAATCATGTTGGTATCCAATTTATCCAAACCCAGCAACTGAAATTGAAAACTCCTCTGAAAGGAGTGAAGAGATAGCTCTCGTCATAGAAACCACTTATCTAGCAGGACAAAATGGGGATTTTTTTTTCTCCATTATGCCTCGTGTAACAAGTCTCCATGCCTGGCCTTTCATCTTTACCATCAATGGAAGTATAAAGAATTCATGCTGCTGTGGCCACCAACCCAATGCCCTTTTTACATTGCACTGCTTGGTCGGGCTCAGTAGCACAATGTGAAAAGAGCCTCGGGCAGGGGCCGTGCCCAGTGCATCCGAAGGCCCTTTGCTTTATCCACAGGAACAAGAGAGTTACCTTCTCATAATCTCACTGAAGGGTGAAAAGGAGCACACAAGAGCTGTGATTTATTTTATCAATGCACTTTCTTTAGTATGAGTTTCTATAGAATACTGGGCTGCTGCATGGTACATATTAATCAAACCATTCTCTTTAGTCTTCATTCAGCAGGAGTTTCAAGAAGACTGTTCAGGAGTTCGACCTAGAAAGGGGAGGGTAAAATAAAGGAAAATAACTTGCATCTACCATCAATTCTCCTTTCTTATAACAACACAGTTGCAATCCTAAAGCAGTGTAGGAGTTAACTCTGCCTTGGGACAGCATTACACAAAATAACCAGTTCTCTTTACAAGGTTTTAAAAAATATTTAGAATTCATAGTATAAGCCTACATTCAAAGAAAAAGCATCAGTTATAAAATAAGCAGTTTCTCAGCTGCATTACCAGACAAATGAGAGGCACAAAGCCTGAATCTTCAAAATCACATATGGCCTCCCCCAAAATTTTTGACTGCACCCTCCAGAATTCTTCAACAATTGCCACTAAATTTGAATTTGCAATATGATAATAGAGGGCTATGTTAATACAATCAGATGTTTAATTTTAATTCAAACAAATTTAGTTGTTGAGCAGCTCCGGCTGCTTTTTATGGCTCTGACCACTTAATAATGTGAGACCTTCAACCTCTCAAAGGCAATATGTGACTTACTATTAAAGATTGTGCAATCTTATGCTAATCAAAACCACTGGATCAAGAAAGCTACCAGTAGATTCTACTTGTCATTACATTTTTCTGTGTGTGCTCTTTGTGTCCCTCTAGAATTTTTCTTATCTGAAATTCTAACAGTCACCTTATTGAATAATTTGGCTCTATACATGATAAAACTAAACCCTTTTATATTCCGCCCTTCTCCGGAGACTCAGGGCTGCTTACGTGTTAAGCAATAGCCTTCATACTTTTATATTTATACAAAGTCAGCTTATTGCCCCCACAAACTGGGTCCCCACAAACTGGGTCCTCAAGATTTATTTATAATAAATCTTAAGACAATCACAGTTGATTTAAATTACAGTTGATTTATCCTTTATCTCATCTAGACTACTACTGAGTCCCAAATTACCAACTTCAGATTAATGAATATACTTAATTTATATTTTTTCTGGATATAATCTTTTTTTACACACAAGTTTTGCCTCTACTTCACATCTCCTGTATTCAAATGTGAAGGACCAAAACCAACCCATTTCCATCATATAGTTGAAAAACAGGAAAAGAGCAAAGAAAATGCCTAGAACTAAGCCTATTTCTCAATTCTAAGCTATTGTAGCTATGGACACTCATGGGAGGGGGTGGGCACAAAGGACATTGGATCATTCATGATATCATTATCAAGCACAGGAAATCATGAGCCAAGGTGATTCAAATGAATACAGGTTTATTGCATGCTAACCCTCTCTACAAGAATCTGAACTACTAATGGTTAGTCAAATTGGCGAAAAGGTTCAATGAAATTCAAGGTGGGTTGGATCATTAGATCACTTGTGGGTGCGAAGGGACTCCAGACTGATGCTCTTGACCCCTCCCTCAGGCTCAGCCTGGTCATTTCCTACATCATTATGTAAATAACGTATTTCACAAATATATAATTTCTGTCATCTATGTCATGACATGATGCATGCAATTTTGTTTTCTCAGGTGGGAACATCAGGCCTACATGTTAGGGTTCAAACTAGCTACTTTGTTCTATGCCTATTTCACAGGAATCTCCGCATATTGGCATTTTTCACCTGGGAAAGACTAGATAAAGAAAGGGAATTGTGTGTGTGTGTGTGTGTGTGTGTGTGTGTGTGTGTGTGTGTGTGTGTGTATTCCTACGTAACCAAGGTTTGTCTGCAGCCCTAGCTCAGTAGAATCACATCCACTCGATTCTGGGCTTTTTTTCTTTCTGGCAGCCAGCAAGTTCTGGTGCCAGGTGAGAGACTGGCTGGCTGCCAGAAAGAAAAAAAAGCCCAGAATCGAGTGGATGTGATTCTACTGAACTAGGGCTGCAGACAAACCTTGGTTACGTAGGAAAACCTGGCTAGAGGAAAAACACACATAAATCCTACGAAGAAGTAAATATATATATATAGTCATTTGTGTTGACCTAAGACCACATATGTTGCATTTCTCTATTAATTTCACCAAGCAAAGACATAAATTCCAACACAACAGCCATTGTATATGTATGACATCTATAATATGCATCTGAATCACCATAGGAGAAGATAACAATATGCAGTATTACCATTGGAATAATTTTAACATTCAGAGTTTTTATTGCAAGTAGTACTGAAATATTGAGTAACAGATACTCGAGTTGGAAAAAAACATGGGGGAGGGTTGATATTCCAAAGCAATGGTCAGAATCAGCTAAAGCTAGGAATCTGTCATAGCACTACCTTCACAAAAAGCCACACTCTGTCATGTAACAAGGCCTTGGACTTTGATTCATGTAAATAACCAGTAGAAAAACTAACTCAGAATTCCCTTCTCCAAGATTACATCTTATCAAATTGTTTTGCCAAATGATCTCTAATAAGTAGCTGAGAGAATAATTGCATTATTTAACCAAAGAAAGTGCTACCTGAAAATTGCTTCCAGCTGCATAGTAGTTTAGCTGGAAGGAACAGCACATCAGAAGGGAAAATAGATTGTTTATACCTAATGTTTGGGGAACTGATGCAACAGGATGTCCTTGTTTTTCATTGACAGGTCGTTCACCTTATCAATGATGTTGAACCTTATCACCAGATATGAAGGAAATAGAATTTGGGAAATAACAAGTTTCTAGAGCAAAGGGAGAACAAAAACAGCTATCAGATTTAGACAAGAAGTGAGAGACTGTAAAACCATTTAAAATCTTTTCTATTCTGTTCTACATCATTTTTGGAAAGGTGGAAAACTGTATTTCCTGTATTATACATATAAAAATATATTTTGTTTGATTGCTGGAACCAGCTTTCAGTTGCAAATGCATTGATTAGAAATTACTGCAAAGAGCTAATCAAGACATAAACAGAGTTCACTGGATTGTTGTTTTTCCTAAACAGTTCCATGCCATTTAATACATTGTTGATAAAAATACCTTTTGGAAATAGTTATGTTAATGGAGTATTCATTCAATATATTTATACTAAAAGAACAGTTAAAATTGCAAATTGATAAGAACAGTGAGGCAGAAACAAGCCATAAATTCCTGGAGATTATTAAAAATTATAAAAGAACAGCATGTAGATTTAAGTACGAAATTCTGATTGATCTAAGTAGAGAAAAGAGAAATCAACTCAACTTGAATAAGTTTTTACTAATTTCAGATGTGTGGTTTTTATAATAGGAGAGGTGGAAAAAGTCAGAAAAAAAATAAGCATAGCATTTCTTGGTTTCAGATCAATAATGAAAGGAGGGCAGACAAAGAATAAAAGAGAATGAAACTCCCAACTACAAGTAAAAATATTTTATTTAGTGCAAAGCATTTCAAAAACCATATTTCTGATCTGCTCTGCAAAACTAATGCTATTAATAGCAAGGATATTATTCATGAACAATTAAGAAAAAGGCAAAAAGTATACACTATGTATAGAGTAGCTGTTTTCTGAACAATGAATATATCCCCCTCTATGAAGAAGTCAATACCATATTCACTCATTTCATGTTGTGCATGTGGTAAATTATTCAAAACCACTGGAATTATAAACACATTCCATCAACCTTTGCTTAAAATTAACACATATGACTGCTTAGAGCAGCTCAAACTAAGTCTTCTAGTATCATTCCATGAAATTACATACATGAGGACATCACATCGTTGTAGTTACTTTGTGGAATTATATAACTATGATGTTTCACACAAAAACAATTTTGGTCCAGATTTATCATATACTGGTAGAATGCTGCATGGATTGAGGGGGAAAAATGTACAAATCAATTAAAACATATATAAAGCATAGACCAGATAGATGCTAAAACTGGGTACAAAAATCCTATTTCACAATGATTTTTCCATATTAAAAAATTAATGTGAGGAATAAGTGTAAAAACTGAAAGAGTGTCTTTTATTGGTGTTCAGAAACAAGTAGTTAGTTATTCATGCCTTGGAAACAAATATCTGTACATAGTTTAGAACATGAAGCTAAATATACAAACTAAGTAGAAGTAGTATGTTTTTAGACTTCATTTGATACCTAACTATTCAGAGGCAAGTTGTGGATCCTCTCCTCTAGCATGTACAGAATGTTCTAATTCTCTTCTCACACTTAAGTGGTCCCACTTGGGCTTAAGCATGTGGATCAACAGCTGTTCTCTACATATAGCTGCCTTATGATGGGAAGTAAGGGATCAATACTGGCTTTCAACATCTGTAGCTCCTTACGATATTTTAAGCGTTCAAGTCAAACATTGATACAGTGTTATATTTCCATATAAATAAACATTGTTTATTTAGCAAAGGGATAGCAATTTGTTATGAGATCTCTAAAGAGCCACTAACATTTCTAATCTTGTGATATTTTTGGATATCCCACAGTTACCATTTAATTTCCCTCAAACAGAGACTGCAGACTTAATTTTCCCACAAAACAAATTACATTGGGTTATATACATCCTTGACCTTGCAATAATAATTAGCTGAAAAACTTTCTAACAGAAAGAGCAATTCAGCAGTGAAATAAATTATCCCGAGAGATGTTTAGCTCTCCCTTCACAGGAAGTGTTCAAGCAAAGGCTCAACAGTAATGAATCTGGGATATTTTAATTTGTATCGCTACAATGAACAGGGGGTGGTCTTAATGGCCTAAATAGCCCTTGCCACCTCAACGATTCAATTAATTCATGCATTACACTGTGGGAGTACATATTTACCAACCTAATAACTCACAGCTGAAATAAGCCAGAGAAGGAAAAATGCCTTAACTTTTTAATTTCTTAGCTACTATTCTGGATGGGCAGACAAAAAGAAATATAACTTTATTTTTTCAGTTGACTGGCAACCCTTTTTTTTTTCATACAGCCTAGGTTTGCCTGTGTGGAAGTGTCTCATCACAATGCCTAATTATGAAGATACACTGTTTTATATTTTGAATATTAACTAAGCCCATTTCAAAAGGTGTATAATCTTAGTTTAGATTTCTTTAGTATCTGCTAAATATTTAGCAAATTGAAACATTTTTTATTTTAATTTCTGCAAATTATAGTTATTTCCCTTTGTTTAAATTGAAAACTCTTTAGTGAAAACTCTATTACGTTTAAATTGAATTTGCATTGCAAATGATTGGGCGCTGTCTAGTCCAATGTGATTTAGCCACTAGTATAAATCTTGTAAATCATTTTTGAAAACAGTAATGTGTCACAGTGATTGTATTTTGTCTCATTTCATGCAAGATAAGTCACTTAGACTAGGGTTAATATTCTTATTTTTTCTAAAAATGAACATAGACCGCCTTTTTTTTTTTGTTTATACATCCTGAAATTGTCTTTCTGTGGGTAGATGCTCTAGTCTAGCTATATGATAAATTGCAGAAAACTCAGCATTTCATCAGGTGGACATGGCTAATAATCTCCAGACAGAAAAATGACTAACAAATGTACATATTATTCCTTAAACAGGAATATTTTGTCTCTGATGCAATGATACCATCATAAGAAACACTTTTTTTTTTTCAAAGATTGGGATTTCCAGCAGGTTAAATTATCTAAAGTAAAGAAAGTTGCTTGGTTGGTAAAGTTTTATAGCCTTTGGGAGCTATAGAATTTTGCAGGTACTCACTGAAAAGTGCTGCAGAGAAATTTCCTTTTCAGAATACTGAAAACTTGCAGAAATCCTGTAAAACCTTCACACTTTAATTTAATACGGTATTATTTCTCTATACAGTATTACACTCTAGGCAGGCAGAAGTATGCTCACATGGGGCCCTCCAATAATTATTCCAATGTTTAATGTTTTTGTAGTAATTCATAAAAGTTTATTAGAGGACTCAGAATTGTGCAAGCCATTGTATTCTATGGAAGCTGGAATTCAAAGAAGCAGGATAGGAAGAGTGTTGACACCTTTGAACTTTGATATTGGAAACTCTTGATAATACCATGAACAGTCAAGAAAAAAACGCCAATGATTCATTGAACAAATCGACCCAGAGTTCTCATTTGAGGCAGAGATGACCTGGCTCAAATTATCCAACTTTAGACATTTTACAATTTACATAAATACCCAATTCTCTGGAAAAAGTGGAAGGAAAGAAAAAAAAAGGATAACCAACAACAAGTTGGTTGGACTTAGTTAAGGTGGCATGTTAAGTGCAACATTGAAACACTTGAAAGAACAGGTTAGGAATACATTATAATGGAGAAGATCTATGTGGTCACTAGGAGGCAAAAACAACTTGATAGCACATCATCAATTATCAAAGGAACTTTGATCATTCTTAAATTTGTGTATTGTCATTAGTCCTTCCATCCCATACATAATTCAGAAATTCCAGTTATCTTGACAGAGAAGCAGTATACTTATTGAGAGTATGGAAAATACGATGCTTGAGGGCACGTCTTCCCACCTTCTATAACGTGTAGGTATATTCCAGTATCTTTTGAATCTCCTGTGCCAAGAATGCACAAGCGCACACATGGAAGGCATACAGGTTAGAATGTTGGGCTCTACTGAATAGGGCTCAATTCCTTGACCCTGCACAACAAACCCTCCCCATCCGCAATGAATAATAAAGCTTGGAAGCTCTCCCATTTCCTACCTTGCGTTAACATTCATCCGTGAGCATAAACTATTATCCAGAATCACCCGTGTTCTAAACCACAGCAATGGTTTGGGCCAGTGGTGGGATTCAGCCAGTTCGCACCTCTTCGGGAGAACCGGTTGTTAACTTTCTGAGCAGTTTGGCAAACTGGTTGTTGGAAGAAATCATTGGGGCAGAGAACCGGTTGTTAAATTACTTGAATCCCACCACTGGTTTGGGCTCACTCTATTGTGTGAAGCTGGCCACTACGGTCTGTAAACCACTGTATTGTTACATGTGAATTCAGTCAAATGTGATTTGCCCAGTTAAACCACACTTAAGCAAACCCAGCAATTTAGTACACTGTATGGGGGGCTGCTAAGCACTGAAAGTAAAATGCTTTGAACACCACCAAAAGATGATCTGGAAATACTATTAGGAGAGAGAGCCTGAAGAGACCCAGAGAAGGAAGTCTGCTCTCAGCATGCTTTGATTCTAGGGCTAGGCTAGGACCACTACCCGAGTTAGGCCACACCGGGACAGAGAATAATCAGGGGCACTCATCCCTTCTCCCAGTTATAACCAAAGGCAGGAAGCGTTGGAGAGGGGTGGGAAAGGCCCTTCTCCGTATTTTCGGCCATTCCTCACACCTCTTCTAATTCAGGGCGTCGTCCAAGGGGCTGACCGGTATCCGAAGCGCCCAGCCGGTCGCCCCCTCCCCGGATCTCCAGCAGCCTTCTCCCGCCTTCTCTCTCTCTCTCTCTCCTTAGACCGAACAAAAAATGTAAGCTCTCTGGATCAAACCTGCGCTTGCAACACGTTTGTGAAAGGGAAGCAGGATCGGGCGAAGCGCCTTTGCCTGTGCTTGGAAGGGACAACCCCTTTGTGCCCGGGAGCGAGGCCATCTTTACCCTTTCGGCAGCTCTCTGGCTTCTCCTCGTCTCTCGCATGGCCCCGCGGTGGAGGTTAAAACTTTGGCGTTTTTCCCCCCGCTTTGCCCGGGCAAGAAAGTGGCGGGCACTAAACAGCTCCCGCGTCTCTCTCTCCTCGCTCTCTCTCTCCGCATTCCGCTCCGTCCATCTTGAATACTTGACATTCTTGAATGGAGCCTGCGGGATCCGCTGCGCGCGGCTCAGATTGGCTGCCCGTTAACCCTTCGCCTTCTCATTGGACGCAGGGCTCCTCTCGACCACTCCTCTCCTCTCCTCCTCCCCCCCCTCCCCCCCCTCCCGACTTTAGTGCCTCCCTACCGAACTGCCCCCCCCACCCCCGGGGTTTTGCTACGGACGTTGCTTCTATTCTGTGGCGGGTTTTTTTTTCCCCCGTTCGTATTTCGGTAAATGAACGGAGAAGCTCCCGTAGGAACGAATGCACGCGCGAAGAAGATCCGTGACAGTCACGAAGACCCCAGCCTGTTCTTCTTGTGGCTTACCGCCTCTGCACAGAAACCTTTCTTTGAATGCAAACCACTGACACAGCAGTAGGACTTTGCATGTAAACGCAGCGGGCTTATTTTGTCTAGTTTGTGCGTGGAAGGAATAGAGACGCGGGACTTTTTATTCCCTTTCGGTGGCTGCTGATTACTATTACTTTTTAAAAAAACAAACAATGTTTGCATTTGTGGCTCACCTTTAGGGAACAGACCTGTAAAGCGAGTGCGTAAGGAGCGTTTCAGATTTAAATTTACAGAAAAGTCTCTACTTACAACATCTGCCCTATAACATCATTTCCAGAAAATAAGTTGTATTTACTCTTTTTGAAGACATTTGTAGTGAATATTAGATTTATAGCCTACTTTTCATTCAGGAATTAAGACAGCCTACAAAACCCTTCTTCCTACTGCTTTTTCCTGAAATAATTCTGTGCAATAAATTGGGCTGAAAGAGAATAACTGTCCAAAAAGTTAACACATTGAGCTTCTGTGTCTGAGAGATGACTAATACATGGGTCAATTTTAATCCAATTGTTTTTAGTCAATTGTTAACCAACACGCCTCACTTGCTTCTTTATTACAGTGTAGCACAAGCTGTTGTGGACTATGATCCAGTTCATCAAATGCATTAACATGGCAGTTGGCAAGTACTGTCTGCGTGCATAGGTGTAGTGTAGAGGGACAATAATATGGACACTGAAATGAGATTAGAAGAAAATGAAATATGCAGAATAAAAACCTTGACAAACTTAATTTTATACATAATTTTCAATGCCTTTTTTTTAAATCAAATTTTTATTTTTTTGTTTAAAATTTATACATATCATTGTGTGAATGGCACGATGTTTGAGTACCATACATTTCAATACATATAAACATATTCCTAATTATTACATTCCATTTTCCTTATTTCATATTATTTACTCCTACCTTGTACACAAAATTTTAAGTTTCGTATAAATATTAACTAGTATGCAATAACATCTAAACCGATGTGCTTTAGCATCCGTATTATCTTCCGTTATAATTTCAATAGTATAACCCTCAAGAAAAAAAATACAAAATTGTCATAATTTTCAATGCCTATTCACAAGAGGTAATAATATATATCAATAAACCAAGTAACACACTTAGTGGGTGCAAATGCATTATTTTTAGACCATATATAATAGGGTTGCACTTCATGATTACCGGTAATTGGAATTCAAAAGCTTCACATTAGAAATCCATCTCACAGAAAACAGCTCCTGTCAAGTGAAAGACTAAATTGGTTTTTCTCTGGGGAAAATTTACCGGGAAATAGGAAATGAAAAAATATCCCAAAGTAAAACAATGATGAACCAATTCTGTATTGCTATACCTTGCCAAACTCCAGATGGATGTATTTATGAATTTCCAGGGGCTGACTGGTTTATTGGAGCCTTTACTAGTTGCAGTCACATTCTAGCAAAATAATGCTTAAGATAATGGTGGATAACAGAAAGCCAAAGAACACAAAAAAAGAAGTCAGTACATGCTTCATCAACTATAAAAATGCTTTCAACTGTGTTAATCATGTCAAACTATGAATTATGCTAGAAAATATGAATCCTAGAACATCTCACTGCCCTCACATTAAAACTATAGATAGGGGAGGAAGCCACAGTATGGGCAGAATATGGGAAAAACAGATGGGCTGCAGGTTGGCAAAGGAGTGAGACAGAACTGTGTACTCTCCATTTATTTGTTTCACCTATATTCTGGATATATATTAAGGAAAGTAAGATTACATGAAGATGATCATGGTTCTAAAACTGGAAGAAGAAACAGCAAAACATCAAGAACCTGTGCTATGGTAATGACCCTGATAGCCAAAAATGCAAAGGATCTGCAATCTCTAGAAAAAAAAGTCAAAGACACCATAAAAGTGGGACTAAAATTAAATATAAAGAAAGCCAAACTAATGACAAAAGATACAGCTGTCAGCCTTAGAATTGACAACAAAGATATGTAGGTGTTAGATGGCTTCTGCCTTTTAAAATCTACTGTCAACAGTAAAGGAACAAGCATACAACAATTTTGTCATAGACTTAACACTTGATAAAATAGCCATGAATATCTTGAAAAAGATAATCATATGCTATGATGTGTCTATACCTACAAAGATCAGAAGAGTGGAGACACTCTGGAGGTGAATATTGGATGTTGAAGAAGCAGCACAGCAAATACTGATGGTTTTAAAATTTGGTGTTGGGGAAAACATATTTTCAGCTATGACATAGTTTACCCACATTTTGGGGCACCCGTTATTCTCCTTTTCCTTGAGGAAGAAAGCCCAACAGAACCTTTAAAGTTAGAGGATATGCTAATCTTCACTATAAACTCTCTTTCTTCCAAGCTGCTTTCGTTTTTGCAGAAGTAAACTTCTATTTTTTCTTCAGCAAGTTGAAAGGTAACCAGAACAATACTAGAAGCTGCTAGTAGTTGAAAAGTAATAACTAAAGTAGTTTTTAACTAAAAATAACTAGAGAAATAGCTAGATTTTAATTGAAAAAAAATATGTCAGAGAAAGCACATACATAGAGACCATACTGATATTTCAGTTCAAACTGCAGTGTCAGCAGCAGTTATGTGATGTTCAATAAAACAAATGATTTGTTCAGTGAATAGAAGTACTCCAAGTCAACCCTCAGGCACTCTCCTTAAATAATGACCTCAACTGACCACAAACGAGAGGAACCAAAACACTTGTAACCAAAACACTATTGAGAACCAGGATCTTGCATGAAGTAGTAATATTTTTCTTCAGAAAATCCAGCATGTGAACAAACTAGTTGGGACACATTGTATTTACATCTAAGTAATAGGGTATTGCCTCATAAAACATAAACTATTAGCAAAGCAGGTGGAACACTTTGTATTTATATTATTCAAACAAAAGGACCTTGGAGACACTTTGTACCACCCATCTCTGAGGCAAATTTCTGTGTTTTCATTTGTCGATAATCAAATGCCAATACCTGGATCAATGACCTTTGTTGATTTGCATTTATTAAACTATGAAGATGCTTCTTGTTTATTGGAGAGATGGGATTTCTTTCCTTCTCTCCCACTGGAAAGTTACTTCAGTGTTTGCCAAAGCCAGAGTGATGTGATAACACTGAACCAGGAGTGAGTATATGTATGATGTTTAATTTCTTGCAGCTCTAGATCTACACCAGACTTTGCTTTGGTATGTTGAAGAAGACTGCACTTTGAAGGTAAGTGAAGACCAATTTTGGGTAGGGTTTCAGGAGTTTTCATGGGATGAAAATGGTGCTTTTAATGTTCACAAGACTTAAGGTACCACTTTACCCCTTAAACCCCTCTTAAAATCTTCCAAATTAAATAAAAAATTCACATATTTGGCTCAAGTAGGGCTTTTGGAAGAGTCTAGGATTTCTGGAGCCAAATTAGGTAGAATAAATCATTTTTTATTATTTGAAACCACCCAGAAATCTACAAAAAATTTCAATCAGCTTTTGGAAATTTGTGAGAGTGGCTATGTCTAGATAACACTTATTAATGATCAATTTACCAGTGGTTCATTCAATTCAATTATCTGGGTTTATATAACACACTTAGCTATAGGCTTATTATTATTCAATTTTGTGAGCTCATATCATCACAGTAGACTAAAGTGTGATTTCTTCATTTGTGGATCAATCTGTTATGCAGATATACTGATATAGCCTATCTAAACATATTTAACCAAAAGACCATCCTTTCCAAAGCTAAGCTTTGTCTAGTGTGTTGAAGTTCAATTCCATTAATTAAATTAAATTTAATTAATTAATTTAATGTAATTATTTTTCTAATTTCTAAATTGCCCATCTGCCTCAAAGAGGGGCATATTATGATTCCCAGCCAGAAAGACTGACATTAATTACAATTTTACAACCTGATGCAGTTGTGAAATTTTCTCCACCTCTTTCATTACAGAATAGGATAGGATAGGATAGGATAGGATAGGATAGAATTCTTTATTGGCCAAGTGTGATTGGACACACAAGGAATTTTTTCTCCGGTATATAAGCTCTCAGTGTACATACTAGCAGTAAGTGATAAATCATGATTATAGTCATTGTAAAAATACATTCATCATAAATTATAAGATACAAATTTAGTGATAGTCATAGGATACTAAATAAGCAATCAACATAAATCATACTAGGATACTAAATAAAATAATATAAATCATAAGATACAAGCAACAAAGTTATAGTCATAAGAAGATAAGGAGATAGGTAATAGGAAAGATGAGAAGAATAATGTAATACAGCCTTACTAGATAGTTTGACAGTGTTGTGGGAATTATTTGTTTAGCAGAGTGATGGCATGGGGGGAAAATGTCCTTGTGTCTGATGGTTCTGACGTGCAATGCCCTATGGTGTCATTTTGAGGTAGAAGTTGAAACAGTTTATGTCCAGATGTGTGGACATGTGAGGGTGTGACGGGTCTATAGATATTTTCACAGTCCTCATTCTGTCTCATGCAGTATATAGGTCCTCAATGGAAGGCAGATTGGAAGCAATTGTTTGCACTTAAAGTTGTATTGCCCAGCACTCATCCCTCCTGAATGTGTATCAGTACATTGGTTATATATTCTACTGAATGGGGATGTGGGCAACAGTTAACTGGGTTCTAAGGAGTCTAACCCAGATGTC